GGCTGGGGGTTTGTGCTGCACAGTGGCAAGGCAAGGGCTGGGAAGTGGAGACCTTCAGAGGTGGACTTTATCAGCACTGTACTTGGCCTGGAGAGCTGGGCTGAGGGATGGAGTCAGGACAGAGCTGTACCTCAGTATGTGCTGGAGATGAGGGGTCTGCCTCTGCTCCAGTGCTGGGCAGTGTCATGGGCTCAGAAATGTGTTGCGAAGGTAGGACACAGAGATACTGTGTGAGAGTCCCCTGGGCAACACCTGCTGGTCTGTGAGTAATGGCCCTGTTGTGTGCATAGTGAGCCACCGAGGAGGATTTCTCTGGCTTGGAGGATGCTGTGGTCTGTGACCTTTCCAATTCTTATTGTCTGGGGACAGCTGGCTGCCTGCTTGTTTCTGAAAACATCACCTTCACAGAGCAAGGGAACTATGAGTAACTTTGAACAGAAGGATCACAAAACCTCTGGGGACCAGCAGCCCTCCTGACAAGTAGTTAAACTTTGATCACACGCCCTCATAATCATATTAATATGATGTATCCAAAGGTTTTTCAACCTGTACCGTAGCCCCTGCGGCTTCCTTTTAGCTTCTCCGTCTTCCTGCTGGATCAGGAAAATCATAACCCCATGCACGTGTGTCCTGTCTTCCCACTGCACAAGCCTTTTGCAGCCTTTGCTAACATTGGCTTGTCCAGTGGTGTTCAGCAGTCTCTGTATTTCCCCCCCACCTTGCTCATTCAGAGCATAATTGTTTCTTTGGAATTATATCACTCTCCAATTCAACAGTAGCACAAAGATGTACAGAGAAGAAAGTTTGATTTACCTTTATTCATAACTTTGACCTGTATGAAAAGCCTCTGTTCTAGAAATCATGTAAAATAATTGTCCCAACACCCCTTTGGTGTGTGTTCAGATACTTTACTTCAGATACCCCTTTAGTTTCTCTCACTTCTGCAGACTGGTCTGCCTTCCCCTCTTGCTCTTCAGTACAACCTCATCTTCCCCAAGCCAGATGCAGGAGGCTGGGCAGTGGGGCAGGGGGTTGCTGCTGGTTATCCTGGTTTCTCCTCTCCTTTCCCTGGCAGCCCAGGGCATGGATGCTCTCTGCAGTGTGGGCAGGGAGCCTGCATGGAAGGCTCCTCCAAAACACAATTTGTCCCATTTAAGGTGGGGGATATGTGGCAGTTACTGTAAAAAGCAGTGTTTGTTTTGTTGGTTTAAATTGTAAGTGCTCTGAGGGCAGGGCCTGGCTTTTATGTATGTACATGTGGGTGTGTATTTTTATACAATTCTTAATGTGAGACACGCAGTTAGGAGCTGCAGTGTGCAAAGCCATGGCTTTCTGTCCTGTGCTAGCTTAGAGAAGTGTTTTTCCAGGTACAGAGAGATGGACAATGATTCTGACCTGAACACTGGGGCTGTTCAGAGACACAGCTTGCTTTAGACCTTCTTCTGGGCACAACTGTTTTCCTTTTTTTGTTACCAAGTAGTGCACCCCAATATATTCCAGGTGCAGCAGTGATAAGGTAACTATAGGAACATGGCTCTGTGTCCAAAATTATATTGGTATGTGTTCCTTGACCGGTTTAGGAAGAGAAAACTGCGTTGTACCCTCCGTCAATTGATGACCAGGATGCCACATTAATTACCTCTCATCCTTAATTTTTGACAACAAAACAATTGCTTGCACTACAAAGACTTTGGATTAGAAAACAGACCTTGCTCTTCATGTGTGCTGTAGGAGAAGAGAATCTGAACTCAGCAAAATTTTAATTTGTTTTAAGGTTCATGCTTTTTTTTTTGAGAGACAGAAATATATTTTTAAGCCTTTGTTAGGTGCATGCTGAGGCTTTATTATATTACAGGAATAAGTCAATGGTGAAATTTTTGGTTTCTTTTCCTCTGGCATATTCTTAACTTAGTTTTGTCCTAAATTACCACATTTCTTCTGAAATGTGATGTACTCTTCTGCAGCTCATAGTGTGTGATTTCACAGTTTCTCTATTTTGTAAACTTGTTTTGTAAGCTTATTTTGTAAACTGAAATGTCCTTAGGAAAGGGTCAGGTCAGAGCTTAGGAGTGACTCCAGCAGTGAGAACAGACGTGTGCTGGATTAGACTGCATGGGGGCTGTGGAATCTCGGTCACTGCAAGGCTTTAGTAACAGGTACAGCTGTAAAGAATGACATAAATATTACTGGCTCTGTCAAGATGGCCTCTTGAGGTCTTTTTTTTCCTTCTGATAATTTCCATGATATCTGGACAATGCATTACATTTGATTAACACACTTCTATTCTTTTAATCACTTGTGTTTCCTTGAAACTCAAATTCTAGCATCAGCTGGGAGAACATCCTGGGGTTCTTCCACTGTGATTCTGGGGTGTCTGAACTGACTGACCCTGGGCCCCTGGCTGTCACAGGAGAAGTTTTGACAGCTTTGATTAAATGTCCTATGCTCCTTTTCCCAAGCCACAGAACAGCAAGTAGTTATCTTCCTTTCTGCTTGCCCAGGGTCAATGGAGATGAGGATTTTATCCTTATTAGCTGAAAACACGAATGAGAGAAGGCTGCAAGGAAAAGTCATATCCTGTGCACAGCCTTGAGGTCTCTGATGAAACAAAATAGCACAAAATTTACAGATTGTAAAAACAGTGATAACATTGGTTTGATGCTGTGTTTTGTCTTCCTTCTATAATACAGTAAAATGGCCTGTAATTCACATTGCAAAATTGGCATGCATGGCTCTTTGAAGGTATCAGTCTGCAGTGGCCAGAGTTACAAGCCCACCCACTAGAGTGCTATGACAAGCCATATAAATAAATAACCAGGGGCAAATAACACCAGCTCCTCAAGGGCAGCTGCCCACTCAATCTGTCTTGCTTAGGTTGTGAACTCTTCAGCATAGGAAACCTTTTGTGCCTCACACAGTCTTAAATTCACCCACAGTGCTTAGGAAGGAATAGATCATGTTCATTTTGTTTATTACATTATGCAAAATGTTATTTCAGTTTAGCGATTTAACTTTTAAATCCTTGCTGACAGTGACATTAGTACAGACTTAGAAAATTTGTCTGCAGCTGTGTCTTCAGTCTGGCATTTTAAGCTGAGCACTTGTGGCCTGAGGTGGCTGTCTGTAGCATGAAAATTCTTTGGAAAATATGTATGTATTGTGGTTTATTTATTATCTTTGGATGAGTATTTCATCTGTTAGTGCTAAATGGATTTTTGGAGGCTGACTGTAGCCGTGGCACTAGCTGTGTGGCTTCACTGTTTCTTTCTTCCTGTTTATTGAATACTGGCAGCTTTTGTGTCTTTCCCCTGCTCCCAGCTTGTTTGGCTTTCAGACCCTCTGTAATTCAGGAGTCTGCAAGGAAACAATTTCTTCCTTCAAAATGAAAAACAAAACCCAGCGTAGGGGAGCTAAATTAGCTTGTGACCATCTGTTAGAAGGTTAGTAATACCACTGCCTTGAACTATGGCTTCACTTTCGTATTTCATGCAGCAGCTTCTCTGCATTGTTTATACTGTGGTTAAAGGGGATCTTCCTATACCAGGATGCAATAGGAACGTCATTTTTCCTCTGACATGAGCAGATGTCCTATCTGCAGTACTAGCAATAACATTGCTGCTTCCTGTTGTTGCAGATGTTGTTAGCAGGCTGGAGCTGAAGGCAAAGAGGGGGCACATTTCAGCCAGTACCATTCAGTGCCATCAACACCAGTGCTACCTGTGCCCCTCCTTTTCCAGGTGTACTCTTTAGCAGTGACTATCTTATGTAGCGGGCAGAGAGTTTCCCTGGAACACAAATATATTTCCTTGCTATCTTACATTTGCTTCCAAACTCTGTTGTTGTTCTTCTCTGCCTTGACCTCTGTGCTTTCTCTAGATATGTTTACACTAAATCCAAATTGCAAGTAGTGTGTGACCATATTTAGGGAAGGGGTGCCTGAACTGAATCTGGCACACATTTAAGTGTTAATCTCCCCACTCTTAGGTTTCAAGGCACAGCCTTGTGCAAGTCTTCAGTCAGCAATTATTGCATTCTTTTTCCTTTTTACAGGAGTTTGCTATCAAATCCAGTGACACATTTCTATCACTAATCTGGCAAGCTGCCATTCAGACCACAGGAAGCCCAGGAGAGAAGAATATACACTGAGGGCCTTATTCCATCTTCATTATTCCTTATAGCTGCAGAATCCCTAAAGTCTCTAGAAGTTTGATCTGAATGGAAAGTATTTTGCCTGAATAGCACCCCTTATTGAGGCATTGTCACCAAGTCACAAATTTAGATGAGTGTTGTGGCTAGCAGTTTAATCTATATGGCTTGGCTGTTTTTTCACACCAACACGGGGAGTGCTAATCACTTGTAATGGTCTAGCCAGGATTGTCTGGCAGTGAGGGACTTCTCGATTTAAGAGCTGGACACTGAAGGGAAAAAAAAACCACTTCCTCTTCAAGACCTTTACTGAGAATTTATTCCTTTTAGCAAGGAGCAGAATATTGTATTTGAATGGTTTTCAATGGGAAACACAGTCTTACTAAAGGAGGAAGGCCAGGGTTCTGTTCACAAAATATGTGCAAAAAACTCGTGCTTTGGAGGAAAAGAAACAAAGACAAAACTGCATAAAAAGTAAAAATGCAAATGGTAAATGTAAGGCAGTATTCTCATAGCTGTCAGTTAGAGATAATTGGGAAGCCTAAAACTCTTTTCCTATTTACTTCTTTGTGCCTGTTGTTGAACTTAAAACGACTGCTAATATTTTATGTTATTGCCATGTAGAGACTTGCAAAGAGATTGTAAATTAGTTTTCATGTTCAGACCATTGCTGGTTCATTGGCTACTATTATCACTTGTGATTTCATGGAGCTATAATTGTTGGGAAGTAACTTTCCTATTGTTTTTGCCAGCATCACTTAGCTGCATTTCTATAATAATAAATATTGTTTTAGTCCTTCAGGGCATTGTAGTAATTTTGGGGGGGTTCATTCAATACTGTCTTCTCATTCCAGGTTATTGAAGGAAAGCTGGCTCCTTTCTTGGGGAAGGTGATCAAGTTTGCCACCTCTCATGTGTACAGCTGCAGCCTTTGTAGCCAAAAGGGTTTCATCTGTGAGATTTGCAACAATGGAGAAATCCTTTACCCCTTTGAGGACATTTCTACAAGCAGGTACTCTACTGCAGTGATGTCAATCATACCCTTTATTTATCTTATGGATCATACCCTTGTGGATTCTCGGCCTTCTGACCTCACGCTTAGATAACTAGGGACTGGATTCCCTTGGTGCACATTTCTAGGCAGGTGCAGATCACTGGGCCAGGGAGGTCACCTTGAGCAGACCTGGAAATAGATGAGAAGAGCTGCTTCCCAAAGCCCGGTAGGTCTCAGAACAGCTCTTCAAAAAGGGAAGAGTCCAAAGCTCTTCTGAGTTTGCAGAGTGTCCTGAAAAGCTAAATGGCTGCTCTGGAGTGATCACAGACATCTTTCTGGTCTCTGGTATCACTGGGCCCATAATGTTCTGGGATTGTCCATTATAAAACAATAATCATCTATTCTGAAGTGTTTCCCCTGTGAAATGTTATGGCTAATGCTCTGCTCTCTCTGTGTGCTTACTCCTCTGTGTCTGTGTATGCGAGATTGATTTTTTTTTTTAATGACATTGCTATTCTCAGGTGGCTACAAAGTAAGTATAACTGTATGCCAGTCCTAAACTGTACAAAAGAACCTTTATTTCACATTATGTAGAGTGCTGGATGCCAGGTCAGGGACAGGAGTCACATGAAAAACCTAGAAGCAAGATGCAGGAAACCAAAGTAGACTTGGAAAGAAACAGCAATGTTACTACCCTTTTTCAATACTGTATTGGATTTTGAATAAAAGAGATGGATTTTTTCACCCTTAACAGAAAGGCAGTGTATCTGACAGCACAGCATTCCTCCACAGATAAGTACTTTTTGGCTATTTCAAATACAGTAATTTTCTCCAAAGAGAAGGGAAAAAAAAAAGGGAAATTTTTTTTCCAATTGGAAATTGGAAACAATCAGGTCCAACCTGTTAAAAGGGTTTATTAAGAATCTGATTCCCCTGTGTGTGCAAAGATGTTAAAATACAAGTAACCAAGATCTACTCTTCAGGGATTTTTCAGTCTGATCTGAGTTTCAAAGACTGTTTGCTCATTTTATTTCCAGTGTCTTATTCTAAAGAATGCATTGACAAAGCAGTGGACACAAGCTAGACAAGGTGTGCAGCTGAGCTCTATAAACAGTTTTAAGAAAGAATGTATCTAGGGTGCATGGCAAGATAGGCTGAGTTAAAAAGAAAAGAGACTAAGATGGCATAAAACATAAGATGTCTGTTGAGACTGTATAAAAGGCGATTGAAGATATTCCCAAAAGATTGATGAGAATGTGTTAAGAACATTTGGGAAGACAGGTTTACTTTAAAATTTGATTTGTCTGGGGGATTTTTGTTCCCAAAAACATTGTTGGGTCCCGCCCTTCAGCTGAGATCAGACATACCTTGCAATTACGGAGTTTAAAACCTTCTGGAATCAAATAATATTTGTCAGCAGCTCAAGCCAACGGAAGCTGCTCTAGCTCCTGTTTTTACGTGAATTAGAAGCCAGAAAGGACTTTTGTTCATGTTTCAGAAATGTGAAGTTGTGGTTCATGTCTTGCCAAAGACGGCAGTCTTTGTTAATGATTTTAATTAAAACACAATCAGCATGACAGGTTTTCCAATATTTCTCTTTCTGATTTTGTCAGAGATCATCCTGCTTTACTCCTTTTGTACTCCTTATCACTAGATAAGTTTTTTTTCTCCAGCATTTTCCATTCGCCTTCCTAGTTAGTTTTCTTATCTCATTACTACTCGTGTGTGCACGTGCACCTGTGTGAAACTAAGCAGATTATTTCTGTTCCATACTTTTGCTCTGGAGACAAGTTATGCCAACAGAGGAGCTTGTATGTTTTGCTGTGCAGCTCCATCAGCTGCACAGCAGTGAGGGAGAATGCCGGGTAGAGGGGCTTTGTGTTTATTTCTGCCTCTTGACGATGAGGGAGGTTTCTGAGGTAGGTGTGCTGACCTACGACAGGTGTAGGGTGAGGAGGCTAATTAGAAGTAGGTAATGTACAGAGTAACCTGCGGCAGATGGAATGGCAAGCGGTTAGGCTTGTGTTAATGTGAAGACTAAGATTAATGTGAAGACTTGCAATTACACCTGAAAATTCTGGTGACATGTTCAGCTTTCCTTGTCAATTAAGTGTCGAACCGAGCTCTGAGTAAAGAGCTCAGATTTGTGATTTAGTTGTAGTACTCTGAGTCTCGAGTGAGAATTGACTACAATTCCCTTCCTCCGTCCTGGTTTTCTGGAATTGCTGTCTACAGCACGGTATTCACATTTTGTGCTCAATACTAGACTGCCAAGTACCCCGGCTGAAGTTGCTGAGTTAAGGAGGTAAGAGCAGTTGAGCTCTGAAGACAGTGTTTCCTTGCTTTTAAATGATGCTCATTCACTTTGAGCAGACTGTTAACTCTACCAACAAACTGGGCTGTAGGTTTAGAAATATTCAAAAGTGGGTGCGTGACAGCTTTTGCAGACTTCAGCTCTTTGCTGAATGTTTGAAAAGTGAAGCCTGCTTGTGTGGAGAGTGTGTGTGTGTATGTGTGCATTGAGCTGGCATTTGTTTTTCTGGCTACCTCCCTGACCTTTCCTGCCCTTGGGAGAGAAGAGTGACAGCTGTCAGAGTGGTCAGTACAATTCTAAGGTGGTTCTCAGCTGCCTGTTAACTTTTCATCTTCATGGTCTCTTAGGTCAGCTTTGCCGTGAAGAGGTTGTTTCTCTCCAAAATATTCTCAGAAGTTTCTGGGTCAGTTTTCAGTAGGAATTTATGAGGGATGGGTCTTCTTTAGATAGATGCAGCTGAGAGAAAAAGAGGGCCCCTCTTGAGGGCTGGAGTTTCTCTTTGGTCTGGTTATTTGCTTGAGTCATTTTTGTCAGTCCTTGGGCAAACAGAGTGAATACCTGGGTTATGCACTCCTCAGGGTTTGAATACACATATATTACATACCCTTCTCTCACTAATCAGTGTGACACATTCCTTTGTTGGCAAACGGTTCCAAAACAAACACAATCAGTTCACTTAATTAGCGGGTCTGTGGGCTGTGCTTGGCAGGCTCTTTACATCCTGCTCAACAATACAGCGCAACAGTTTGCTGCCTTGAATGTAAGGGTGGGCTCACAAAGTCATAAGCTTTCTAATGATATTTCCTTTCTGTGGCTTTTCTTGGGAGGTGGCCATTCTGCAGAGATCATAATGAAAGCTGTGACTCGGTAGTTAAACAGTTTCCTAAAAACTGTACCATGTTTTTGATGCCTCTTCCAGTCAGGTTGAATCTTTGGTTCCCCATTTCCCTGTTTTCCATCGTTATCTATGTAAATCTTAATCAGGGTTCTTTCTAAACTTCACAATTTCACCATCTTTTGGAAAGCGTTTAAAACATGAGATCTGTATTTAAAACCTCCTGAGTTAATTGCACATTTCACGGAGCAAATTGCCAGCTAATGTAAACTCCCGCAGCTCTACTTTTGCTGCAGCTCTGGCAACTTAAATGAACTGAGCATCTACCTCCTATTTATTTCTTACACTAAATTTGCCCCGGGCTTAAATTTAGCGAATAAACATATAAAATTATCCTATTATATCACTTATTTTATATTTACAAGTGTTGTGAAATGACTTTAAATGTCCTTGGCTATAAATGGACTTGTTAAAACTATCCTTACCCATTAGTTAGCAACCAGGCGCTTCCCCTCAAATTGTTCTCATATTACTTATTCGTCATTAATGTGGTGAAAAGTTTTTGTTTCTTCATCCTAAAACTAAAACAAACAAATGAAACAACAGAAGTAAAAAGACAATATCTGTGTAGTGGCATTGTTGTTTATAATAGATGGCTGGTTTATAACTTAGAACAATTTTAAACAAGTTTTAAATCTTAAAGAATACTAAGAAAATTATCTTTGGAATGAGAATAAAAGCTCATTAAAAAGCATTTTCTGTCCCATTAGATAATTAAGGAATTATAGTTCTGATTAAGATTATTATGTGTTACCCAGTTAATAAAGTTTTGGTCTTCTCTGAGTGTTGTCATCCTAGTGACTACTTTCACAGGCAATTTGTTGTGTTTTGCTGGTAAAACTACTTGCTTGGTTAAGAACAATTTAGTCCATTCCTTGCCTTTTATGTGCTGACTGTCGATGTACGTGAACCATGGAGAGTTGCTCTTTTGTGTTCATATTCATTTATCAAGGCTAAACTGTTTTCACTTCGCTAAGTTAATTTGTTCTGCAGATCAGTTAAGATGTGTAGACCTTTTAAGATACAAACCAGAAGACCCAAGTTTAAAATAGACATGCCACAGAACAGGCTTGACTGTATCAACCAGCTTGGATGCCTCTATAATCTTTGGCCACCATCCTGATAAGACCTGTGAATGTACTTAACTTTGCACATAGTGACAAGTCTTACTAAAGGCTCTGAGGTTGTGCATGCCCAAGTCTTTGCAAGGTTACAGCTCACTGTGTTATGGATGCTTTGTCACTGGACAGAAGCAACTCTGAGCAATTGGGAGAACGTTAAAGATAGATATTAGGTGGAGAGACTGAAATAGAGCATTTCCAGGAAGTACCTTGGCACAGGCCAAAGGCATCACTCAAAGTACATAATTTTCCCTCTTGCTTTGATTAGTTTGTCTTATGCTAGAAAGCCTTTCCTCAGGCCCAGTTCACTTGAGTTGTGCTAGAGGTTTTAGTACCTAATTTTTTAGCTTATTGGATGTTGATAGTTGGTTCGAAGCACTCTGAAGTGATCTGCTCAGCACTCTCTTTAAAGAAACATAGGCACCTAAGCAGATGTTAAGTTCTCTTGATAATTTAATTTCAGCTGAATATGTCAAAACTGGTCAAAATTTTCTGGCCCACGTAATCTTATTTCTGTTTTTTCAGCATAGCATAGTAATGTTACCTGGAATATGTAAAAAGAAAGTGATAAAATATACTGGCTTTTTCATCAGACCTTGTGTTTTGCAGCTGAACTAGCTTTAGAGGTTAGTTTTCCCTGCCTCGTGTCAGAGTGTTTTTAAGTAGAACGTTCAGTCTAAAGGCTGAT